GAACATGCAACCAACTCGTATATCTTAAAAAAAATCATTCGAAATCGTTTAAAAAAACACAGAAGTCCGTAGTAAGAAAATATGAATGTTTATTACACAATAAACCAGTGAACCAATATTTTTTTAAACTTTCAAGCCGAAAAAGAAAGTCGAAATTGGTAATGATTTTGGATAAATGATTTAATTAAGTAATCAATTAACCCATTAAAAAGATGAAAAATAATCATGAGCAATCAACGCACAGGTTTTTAAATTTATCAAAATATCTTTATACACTATTTATATATATCTATTATAATACACAATGAACAAAATTATCATTACTTGCACCAGAATAGGCAATAATACTGATAAACAAAAATCAAGACACATGTCACGAAATTGCCACCCAGTAAAAGATATCCAACACGCACGTGCCCACACGTACATAAATCCAGCACCACCTACAACACTTATATTTATGTTGTTATTTTTTTTCCCTTTAGTCTTCTATATTGGACTCAAGTTCGGGAGGGCTTTTTGGGAACCAAGACTGTCGTCTGAAGTCTAAATTATCACAGTGAATTTCACAACAATACGCAATCCTGCTGGCAAGGCAAGTGCAATCAGCTAAGTAAAGCAAGCAATCTGAGCCCTGCTCTGAGTCACCGTTATGTCTCTCTTTTTTACTCTTTGCTTTGGATCCGCTTCACTGTTGTGGGTCATTATTTACTCCGTTTATCCTATTTTAGAACTCATCACGTGATTACCCTCTTAGCTCTCTGTAAGCACGACTTGTTCAATTAAACTTATGTCAGCGACAAAGTGAAAACTAGAGAAGTTAAAGTTTCGCTGCTAAACTGACTTTTTGAAGAATCATCACGTTTTTAGTGAAAAATTCTCATCCAGTTTGATATTCCACCTTGCAATGAAACCATGGAGGGTTATATAAACATGTGTTTTACTGTAAATTTCCGTTTCTGTTTAAAAAATATATTTTTATGTTTATTTTGACAATACTGTTTAACTCGGTAGCGAGCATAGGAATTAAAACCAGATCACATGACAGCCACTTAATGCTCACTTAACGTATCTAAATAACAGGACATCGTAAACATGTCATCTTAAAGATACTCAATTGATCGTTAACATGAGACAGGAAGAACTGATAAAAAAAAAACACAGTCCAAATTTAGCAAGAAAGTAAATTTAAACTACTGTTAGAATGACACCGAATAAAACTCGAGTAATGTAACAAGTATTTTCAACATTTCAATAATAACTACAGTCTATGATCTAGATTTTTATGGTTTATAACTACATTTAACTTAACATATATAATTTGAGAACAAATACATTTTGGAAGCGAAATCCAAACACAGAATGTAAATGTTGTATAATATATATATAACATATATTTCTAAAAGGCTAGATAACAAAAATAGCTTTTCAGACATGGCTACTGAACACTTAATAAAATTATTACATATAGAATGTCATTTTTTATTCTTAAGTTTGCTACAACTTATATTTCAATCTTTAAAACATAATTTAGAGCTGAATAAAGACTTTGTGATTAGGATACAGATTATTAATTGTTTTTAATACATCTAGTATTGGAAGATTTTAGAACTGAGCCTTTTTTCTATCTAATCCAATTCATCCTAAAACAGGATTTGGAAAAATTAATTTCCACAATATTTTTTTTTTTGGATTGGTGGAAGGAAGGACGAATTTTATTTTGACAGGGATATTTTAAAACATACTGTATAACCAAAATGAAAATAATATGATTATTTAACTTACTGTACGTAGAAAAAAAGGAAATAATTTATGATAAAAGCACAGAACCGTCTTAAATATTCTTCTGTCGTTTTGATGATAAAACAACGTAAAGCGACATCACCAGTGTCGCTTCTGTTGTAGCTTGTCACCAATTGTACCTAACAGTTTTCAACTCGTGAACAACTGCTTGCAGTCTTGATTTTGTAAAAACGAAACAAAATTATATTCAAAATCGACTTTGTGGGAGTTTGTTAACTTATAATAATTTCATAATCTGGAAGGATTTAATACATAAATCTGTCTTGAGGAACTAAATGTTCAGATAATCTTACATACTCCTTGAAATTTAATTTACATACTGTAGTTTTGTCTGAGGCTTGTGCTGGTTTTCTAGATTTTCAACCCTGAGAGACTGTATATGGTTATAATGTAAAGGTGAAAAAAATCTTCAGGAAGAACGTACCAACTAATTCTTCTTGGTAACGTAAATAGAGTTCAATAGATTTTTGGTAACGTAAATAGAGTTCAATAGATTTTTGGTAACGTAAATAGAGTTCAATAGATTTTTGGTAACGTAAATAGAGTTCAATAGATTTTTGGTAACGTAAATAGAGTTCAATAGATTTTTGGTAACCTAAATACAGTTCAACAGATTTTTGGCAACGTAAATACAGCTCAACAGAATTTTTGTTATGGCATGAAATCGTATTAAGTTAATATTAATACGTCTTTTCAGTTCTATAAACTTACAGTTGAGTTGATAAGTTTCTCTAATTAATAATTTGATTATTCAGGTTTATTTTAATAACAAATATCATCTTGATAAATAGTCAAGTCAAATATGCAAAAAATAGGGTCAAATTTAAAACGTTATTTTAATATCTTCCAACACCATTAAATCACAGTTTCAGCAGCCCTAAACCGAAATATATGTGTATAGTTGACACTCACAACATGCTAGTACAAGTATTAGCGACAAACATGACATTACTTCATCTGAAAGGTTTTAACATGTTTTGTTCTCTTGTTTTGAAGCTCTTTTGAAAAAGTTTTGATAAATACCTGCGTTAGTACGTGAAGTTTTACTCCAATATACCGAAGTACAGATAGATGACGTTCATGAATGCAGTCCAGATGAAGATACAAGTAACTCCAAAACAAGTTTTACCATTCACACGTATTTAGTCAAAAACATTCAAGATATCCTGCTTAACTTTAAAACAAAAACACGAAATAATAAATTATAACATTACTAAGAAACATAATTTTTTTATTCAACATGAAAGAAGCAGGTCGGTGATAAACGTTTACCTCCTCATGTTTTTGACAAGAAAATAAGCACTACGTTTATAAATATAAAGCATAGACTTTGAATGTTACAAACGATATCAATAAAATGAAACCTTACAAGCAGATTCAAACATGAATGATTTTATAATTTTCTTTTATTTTCAGTCAGTTTCTTGAGGTCTCAGTCTTATCCTTTTAAAAAGTCTTCAATATAAATGTACTCCTGCTACAAATTTGAACTCAGATCTAACTTTTCTACGTAGTCTTGAACTTTAGCGTTTTCTGAGGCAGGAATTATTATTTCTGAATTTTTCTTTTCCTGTTTTTTTTTTACAATCTTCACCACTAAATGTAAACTTCTCATAGACATATTAAAACCATTACTTTTTAAGTACTTCTGATTTTGGTCACCACAGTAAAACAACATATTTCGGAAACTAAATTGTATTGATAGATATTTTCCCAAAACTAATGTCATGCGAATATGAATTTAACATTTTTTTAAAAACTAAACTGTTTCACTCATCATGAATATTTCCTTAGTTAAATTGTCCTATTCGGCATGTTTTTCTTGAAATTAATACTCCCACCAAACTATCGACAAACTCTTATTTCAAATTAAATCTAAACCTTAAAACAAAGACACAAGTTTCAAACGAAATATTTTCTTTAAAAAAATAGGTAATTCCATTTTCAAGTCAGACCCATACTTCCAATCGAGATAAAAATCAAAATGAAATGCAAAGCTCTTTCTAGTTAGAGTTACATCTTAAGATTAAATTAATAATTTTAAAATAACGGATTCTATTTCGGGTTAAATCAGTTGTTTTATAATAATAAGAAAAAATCGTATATATGTAGAAAGCAGATTTGTGATTTTTCCCGGATAAAGCTTATCATCTAATGAATAACATCATTAACACATATCGAAAAACACTTTTTTTTTAAATAATAGTACCGAATGCTCTTCACTTCTCTCATAAAAATATTTTTATCTCTCTTCACCAGCTTTATTTTAATTTGCTTTCACTCACGCATCTCCCAGCTTCAATTCTTTCAATCGGGTAAGTTTTCATTACCAACCGCTTTAAGTTCTCCATCAAAAATCGAAACTCAACAATAAGTCTCCACTAAATTCATACAGATCACGTTGTTGTTCTGAAAAAATGCGTCCCCCAGCTTACGACGCTAGAAACCGGGTTTCGATACCCGTGGTGGGCAGAGCACGGTGAGTCCATTGCGTTGCTTTGTGCTTAACTTCAAACAAAGAAACTAAAAGATGCGATTGTCATATTTTGTGGTTTGTAATTAGTTTTCAGTCTGACATTTTTTTTAGAAAAAGTATCATTGTCCGTCCCTCAGAGAAAACAACATTTTTCATTATACAGAAACAACAATAACGATAAAAAGACATATTGCACCAAAAGTATTGCACCCTAATTGAAGAGTACAGTACTTTTTCCAACACCAGCGTAAATTTAATACCTTTAATGTTACTTCATACCATTCCCGTATATTATCAAATTAAAATAAAAATACAACAATCAATTCGCTTCTTAACAACTTTCAGGTGAGACCTCTTTAGCTTTGGATCATGTAGATGCTTATACAATAGGCCAAGGGTGAGTTGTGTGCGACTGCGCACATGAGTTCTGTTGTAAAGGTAGACAGCAACGGGGCAGGTGGTTTGTGAGTAATGCCAATAGTTTTTGTCTTTCCAGTTTCAAACTCTGGATTTCCGTTCTTAATGCAAAGTTATCGGCTTCTAGGTGTTCCGACTCCTAGAAATATAATAACAAAGCTATTAGGGAAACATATTTTGAGAACAAGTTTTATATTCGTTGCTATTTATATCAAATAACAGGCTTCAATGCGTAAGATAAAAACATCAATCGAACCTTAATCACTTTGCAGGGTGCATATAAAATCATATAATCATAAACACAGTTTGCTTGGTTAATAACGCCATGAAAACCCTTGTGATATAATCACAAACATAGTTTGCTTGGTTAATAACGCCATGAAAACCCTTGTGATATAATCACAAACATAGTTTGCTTGGTTAGTAACGCCATGAAAACCCTTGTGATATAATCACAAACATAGTTTGCTTGGTTAATAACGCCATGAAAACCCTTGTGGCGAACAATGTTATCACTTGGAAAGATTCACATTCTAACTTTAATTAAGTTCGTCTCTAAGCCTCACCACGTCCTTTAAGTCAATTGAAGCACAAGTGTTTACTGTAATTTTGATGGTGTGAACGCCTTTTCTAAACTGGCGAAGCATGATTATAATTAAATATACTTGTCCTAAGACAAGTATTGGGCCTATTATAATTTTAACCCTGCATTACATATCTAGTCCCTTAGGGGTTTTCAAGAATTAGAGAAGTGTATAAAAATAGTATTCGATCCTCGCTGTGTTCGCCATATCCATTGCCGACGACGTGTTTTGCTCAGTCCATAGCTCATGGGCTAAAATTCGGAGTTTAAAATCCCTCGACGATAAAACCACATATAGTCCATTTTATAGCTTTGCGCTCAAACATATAAACATACAAATATATGGCTCGATAATGAGCTAGTTGTTACCGTATCGGGCTGGGGATTTGAGGGTCTCGCGTTCGAGGTATCAAACACTTTCAACCACGAAAGCGTTATTAAAGTGGTAATCAATCTCGCTGTTTGATTAAAAGTAGACAATATGTGCTTTTCTGGTTATCGGTTGAAAAGTAGAGACGGCTATGTTTGAACCATGGATTCTCTTACCTGGTCGTTAAGGGCACGAAGTGCATAAGTTGTCGTTCGGGTGAACGATTAAACAAATTTGTTTTGCCCTCCCCCTCACACCAGCACTCGTTAAATAACACACTTTTCGTCATCACTCATTAAGAAAATGCATCCCAACTCACAGAAATCCGCTTACAAAAAATCTGTGTAACATGCAAACCACGATTATATAAAACTCGTTGCAACAAACCACGAGTTATTAAGTAGAACAAGTTATTACACTTTAGTATTTATTAGAAAGAACTCATTAAGCACAAGTCAGAACTTAAAAGTAAGACATCAACACAACAGACCAGTACTAGCGACAAAAAATGCAAATCAGGCCCGTAATATATGCTAGCTTTCATTAGACAGAAAGCAATATAAGAAAAAAAGAAAAACAAAACAAAGTTTAATATTCAAAAGCCGTTGATAAAAGCACAAAAGTTAGAACTGTACGATGAAAAATACAATCATTTATCAAGCAGAAACATATGTATGATAAATGGATTTTACACAAAATAGATTTATAATGCTGAGGGCTTTTTATTTGTTTTTTTTTACTTAACTAGCAGAGTACTTACGATAGCTAATTTATATGTCCTTTCCTTCTTAATTTTCCTGCATTTGGCGGCTGCTACTTTATTTCTCTCTCTTCGCTTCATCCTCCGCATTTTGTCCTCTAGAGTAAGCTATATAAATACAAGAAATATTATAATATTTATTCCTTGAAAACACAAATAATTACATCTTACAAAAAATGCCTAATTGAACCCTCCTGTGTGGACTTTGACAAAAAAAAAAGAGAGAGACACTTATTTAACGCTCTGGATACAACTGTGATAACCAATAGTGTAACAAATTTTTGTACATACAGTTGACTTGTTTTGAATGTATTATTTTAAAAGAAGTGGATTGTGTGCTGTCTGTTTATTGTTGAAACTTATCATCAACAAATCACAGACACCTACTGTACAGAATTTGGCCCCCCTATAAAACTGACAACTAGAGCTGGATGGTATAATCGATTGCATCAAGACACATGGTTGTCATGATATCTAATCAGAAACACCTTAGGTGGGAAAAAAAGATGCGTCCGAAAAAAGATTGAGCGTTAGACTTAAAGGAATGAAATCCAAATTGACAGCCAAACAGGTAGCTACACTTATAGTATTTATAAGAACTTTAAGCAAATATTTATTCATTAGTTAGCCGGGCGCATTAAAACGCTTCAATTATACATATATACATGTTATATTGGTTTTTTGGATGTGTTTTTTTTTTTTCTTGTACAACACCTAACGGAAAAGTGTGCAGATGTAATACAATCGCGTTGTGAAACATCGAGAAGAGATGATCAATCACTGTGTTGCCTCAGCGACATCTTCTGGCGGTAACAACAACAAAGTATAGTTTATCTCAACTCATTGAAGTTTACTTGAGTTTTTGTTACGGCGCCAGAAAAGAAGACACGCATCAATCCTAAAGAACACGTCAGTGTACAGAGATTTTACGTGTCATTACATAGGGTTATTAACTAAACTTTTTCTCGTGGCATTTTTATTTTAAGATTACAATAATTAGCGGTTATTTGTGCTGGTAAGAAAGGCCGAAGATTCATTATCCAAGACTGGAGCGTGGAGTTTAACATTGGTGTGAATGAAGCAGCATAAAGAATGGGTTTACAACGAGAAGAAAGAAAAAAATCTAAAACTAATTGTACACTCAAACTTTTAATATATTTATTTCATTTAAGAACTTGCGTTTTATATACTGTGTTTTGTATCTCGAGCCTTAACTCAACAAATCTGCTCAATTCTTACTGATCCATTTAGTTCGTACCTTTTAGAAAAATCACCAGCAAAACTAAATTACCGCCTGGAACAATACAGAAACTTTCTTTCAACGTAATATCTCCTTTCTTAAGTACATTAATCTATCTTGAATGGAATCGCTAAGACATTTAGTTCGGGAGTACAATTTTAATCTGATAACCATAGGCGATTTACCTTTAGTTTACATTTAAACGGCCTTTAATAAGCAAGTCATATGAGAACCACAACGGACATAAAGTCGCAGTGGAACGGGAGGTATCAAAACTACAGTCTGACAATGTTTGGCGATCGTAGATAGTAAATTGATCGTTTTTTTGGAAGATTGTACAACAAGCCTTTCAGATGCAAAATATTCATACACTCAAATAACAAAAAGGTGTTCAGATCGAGAACGTAGAATTTCCAAGAAGTGAATATCACTTGTACTTAATGGCATTAGAAAACAAAGGGAAATGGGTCAACTTGGGGAACAAGGACCATCCAAAATGAAACCGGCAACAAACAAATCGTACCCTAGCTGTGGTAAGCAAACTGCGGCGTCTCCCAACAAGTGAGATTCCACAAACACAAAAGTCAATGGTAAAAAACGTCCATGTGTCCCAGGCAACAGTACGCAACATAATCAAGAAGAATCTGTACGTGGCGACATAGACGTGAACGACGTGGTGAGGCTCCAAAGTCTCATAATATGGCATACTCAACGTCTGTGTTCAGTTTCTATGATATATACGCTTGTGTAGCGATGAAACGGTTCAGTATACGTTGATTCCTGTTATGCAAAACCTACTCATACATTAGTTTATATTTTTCAACGACACTTCACTTGTAATTATAGTATTGTACTTTCATATTACTAATGTGCAGTCGAGTCTACGTGAAGTCAACGAGTAATGGATTATTTCTCTTCTATGCAAATCACGTAACATCCAATATGAATTACAACCAATATCTTGTGAATACTTTTATATTTGTTCAACAAATACCTTTTATATATAATGTTTATTTGTTTCTTTTAGCATGAAGCCATATTAAGTTATCTGCACTTAGTCCACCACGTGAAATCGAACCCCAAATATTGATGTTGTTGTAAGTCCATAAACTTAATACTGTCTCACCAGAGGACCCCATTATATCACAATCAATATCTTGTGAATATTTCTAGAGTTTTCCAATAAAATCATTTAATATCATATATCTGATACCTGACAACCAATACGAATTACAATGAATATTTTATGAATATTTCCGAGCTTATTTAATGAAAACATTTAATAACATGTTCATCGGTAATATCTTAAGTCCATAATTTGTATAAAGATAGAATAGTTTTGTCGTGATTAATTAAGATCACCATAGAACATCAAAGAGGGTATGTGTCGTGTTCCAGCATCCATTAAGGTCCTCCAGTTACAATATTTTGTGAGATTAGGTTTCACTATAAAACAACGTGTTGTGTTCTAGCACCAATTACGGTGATCTAGTTACAGTATTTTTGTTTGTAACAAGTTTCACTATAAAACAGCTAACAGGGTGCGTGTTGTGTTCTAGCACCCATTCACCCATTACGATTATCTGGTGACAGTACTTTTGCTTGTATTAAGTTTCACTATAAGCCAGCTAAGAGGGTGTGTGTCGTGTTCTAGCACCCATTAATGTCCTCTAGTTACAATATTTGTGTGAGATTAAGTTTCACTATAAAACAACTAACAGGGTGCGTGTTGTGTTCTAGCACCCATTAGTGGCATGGTTACAGTTTTATCTTGTACAGATATCAATCACGTCTTTCACAAACTCTCAGTTGATCTGTGTTTATTACCATAACAATGAACTGAAAAAATTCCATTGGTTCGGACCCTCAATCTTTCAAGATTTCTTGTTTATTACAATAACAATGAACTGAAAAAATTCCATTGGTTCGGACCCTCAATCTTTCAAGATTTCTTGTTTATTACCATAACGATGAACTGAAAAAATTCCATTGGTTCGGACCCTCAATCTTTCAAGATTTCTTGTTTATTACCATAACGATGAACTGAAAAGATTCCATTGGTTCGAACCCTCAATCTTTCAAGATTTGTTTTTCTTGTATTGTTTATGTCGTTGGCGTCGACATCAAATTGTTCCTTTTTTTTCTGATCATACATCAATGATAATTAGATTTGAAAATAATAGTGATATAATCCATTTTATCTATCCTTATATAACACAAAAACAGACATATTAATTGGTTAAACACTTCAACCAAAATTTTGATATATTTTAGATCCATTTATGGTTATTTGTCATGTATAGGAAGGCGAATCAAAGGAGCACGGAAACGTACATGCTGACGTATAACAATGGACATAAAGTAACGATGATATCGAAACGTGGGAGAGGGGGGAGTTAGAAGACCAAGATTTATCTTATTACGGACTGTGTTGGTAAACTGAATTATTATTTCATTATCTTCCGTGTTGACTCACCAAGGTAATAAAAACCAAATACAGGGTGAACAAATATTGTCTCTTGTCAGTATTTCATAGAATTTACGCCTTCTATTAAAGCGATTAAATTATTCGTTAGGCGCGTATTGAAGCGTACATCAATCAATACGTGTCTTGTTTTTGTTTCTACACGTGAAAGCGCTATACTAACAAGGATTATTTAAAAGAAAATCTCTTCCGAGCTATAGGGTAAATAGACGATTAAGAACGAGTATTTCAAGAAGAATTATTTATACCAAACTTTCCTTTTCAAGCGTTTAAAAAGCTGTCAGAAATTAGATTTTTAAACGTACAGATGTTTATTTTTCTACATATGAAGTGATAAAAATGTTCTTCCATCGTTCTCGGATCTGACAATCAAGACTATTTTTTTATTTAGTAAACTAGTTTTAAGTCATGGATATTACTGCATCTTCGTTTTGTATTTTTTCAAGGCGATATCTTGCCAAATAAACATTTTGTATATCAATTGATAACATAACATGGAAAGAGATGCTATGGATCCTTAAGGAATATTTATGGTTCATCAAATGTCTCTTCACTGATAGTTTCTTCTGTGTTGTGCTGTGATAATGTAAATTGAATCAAGGCTTTTATCTGTCTAACGAAGGTAAACTAGCAGATATTTGTGTCTGTTTCGTAAAGCGTGGTGACGTGTGTCAAGGAATATATCAACTTCAAATGCATCGCGTCGGGTTTATCAGATAAACATGTGATGCCAGTTTCTGTTTTGGTGCTCTTGACTCTGGAACTCGTTTTTCTTATTTATCTTGTTCGTAACAGCGCTATAATCAAGGGACTTCTTAAACTTGAATAACAAGTCTGAAAACAGGAAAACAAGACCGAAAGCAGAATAAGAAGTAATCGGAACACATTTTAAAGATTTTAAACTTCACGGGGGGGGGGGGCAGCAGGTGCACTAACGTAAATAAATGATCATAGCAACGTTAGTGAATAGAACTCGTCAATTTGTCTGTAATTAAGCTACACAATGGGCTATCTGTGCTCTGCTCACCACGGGCATCGAAACCTGGTTTCTAGCGTTGTAAGTCCGCAGACATACCGATGTGCCACTGAGGGGCTAAATTCGTCAGTAATGAACTTACATACGTTTGTTCATAAATGTTTCAAATGTTTACATTTATTTTATATAATGACTGAATAATTTGAAAATATAAAAAATCAAAAGTGAGTAAGTACTAAATTTCAAACACAAATTTAATTCCATGATTCATCTCTTTTGTACATTGAAATAAGTAGGTTTATATCACTTTCAGTAACGCAACGTATTCTTCTTAATCATTACGTTAAACATTTAAAGCTTTTCGCTTATGTATTGAATAACACAAAACATCCTGTTTTACTTTTAAAGTTTAAGACGACAAACAGATTTGTGTGCTTGGTTTGCTTGTTTTGAATTTCGCGCAAAGCTACACCAGGGCTATCTGCGCTAGCCGTCCTTAATTTAGCAATGAAAGACTAGAGGGAAGGCAGCTAGTCATCACCACCCACCGCCAACTCTTGGAATACTCTTTTATCAACGAATAGTGGGATTGACCGTCACTTTATGACACCACTACGGTTGAAAGGGCGAGCATGTTTGGTGGGACGGGGATTCAAACCCGCGACCCACAGATTGCGTGTCGAGCATCCTAACCACCTGGCCATGCTAAGCCACGACAAATAGAGCTTGGTTTCTTATGCTTTGTTAACAGTTTTCTTTAAATAACTTTTTTTTTCAGGTAACTTAAAACTGACCTGGTCTTGAGAAGGTTCTCGATGTTCTAATACAATCTGGTCCTTGCCCTGAATCTTTCTCTTCGTCTGTATGGTCATCTTCAACCCTTCCTTAACAAGTAAGGACATGGTGGCCTGGACACTGGGCGGCCGACTAACAGTTGGGGATGGGATACTGCACGAGCTAGTGGATGGAGAGCTTGGACTCAGAAGGGACTGCGGGGGCGAATTCAGAACGTATGAGGTTGGTGCTTCTGGAGGATTTGGCATCTCGATTAATGCACTGAGAACATCAGGAGTTTGGGGTCTAATTCTATTTTTCTGACTGTCTACTAAAGGGTGAGTAGTTTCCAAAAAACCCCAAGTGTCAAACTTGGGATAGTCAGGAGTAGTGGGCGACATGTTATCATAGCCAAACATAGTGGCGTTAGTGGAGGAAATAGCTAAATTTCCACTCATTAACTAAAAGAAATAGGTCTGTTTAGCTGAAGATTCCCCAGCTTCTGCATCAAATCATTTCAGACGGGTTCTCTCTCTCTCCTTGCATGTCATTACTCTTCGCATCAGGATCCAAATGTCACATCTACCTGAAAAACAGATTATAACATGAATAAATCACCTGTCCTATCCCCATTGGCTTTGATATTTTAGAACAATAAGAAAGGCATGCTCGACGGTCCTAATCATTAACGGCACTGATAAAACAAAAGCATTTCAACACTGCCGATTTATCAGAATACCTTTCAACATTAAACAATGAGACGTGACAAAAAATTACTGAAAACAAGACATAAAAGTTTAATAATGATGAAGTCTTGTGAAATATATTATCATCAATTATCGAAGAAGACAAAATATATCTTCAAAGGATCCTCACGTGACCATTCACAGATTTACAATATTATTAATCATAAAATGCCTTAAACAGATCTTTTGAACAAAAATCTAACCTCGATTAATTTGATAGCTATACCAAAATAAAATATAAAGTGATAATCAATTTAAAGAAATAGCTTACACAAAAATCTGTCCTCCAGGAAAAGAAATAATTTACACAATCATAAGATTTAAAATAGAAAGACGGTTGACAAGAAATCATTTAAATGTTGTTACGGTTTTTAAAAAGGGAGAAATTAAAAGTTGAAAAAAATGTGGTCCTAGAGATGGAAGTAAACCTTTGCACGAATTTTACACAGTTTTTTAAACAGTAAAAGACAAATTGATAAAGTGTGTTTTATGTTCTAATAAAATGATTTCATTTTGCACAGCTTATGACTATATTTAAATTTTGTGCCCTAAAGACCTAGAATAGTCGTTGTTAACATACTACTAAAGATCAAATTGGTAAAATCATTTCGCACTTGGTATATGACATATAAGCATGACGGGCCCCCCAGTGACACAGCGGTATATTTACGGACTTGCAACGCAAGAAACCGGGTTTCGATACCCGAGGTGGGCAGAGTACAGATAGCCCATCGTGTAGCATTGTTAACATCCCACTAAAGATCAAATTGGTAAAATCATTTCGCACTTGGTATATGACATATAAGCATGACGGGCCCCCCAGTGACACAGCGGTATGTTTACGGACTTACAACGCTAGAAACCAGGTTTCGATACCCGTGGTGGGCAGAGTACAAATATCCCATCGTGTATCTTTGTGCTTAATTACAAACAAACAAGACTACTTTTTACCGAATAACGGGATTAAGTGTCACTCTTATAATTCACCTAAAACTGAAAGTGCGGAGCATTATCATCGACATATTATCATCAAATCGTAGTCTGGCAATTTAATTATCAGTCCACTTTACCTCATTTGATAAAATCGGCGTATTTTTGTGGGTCTGCGTAAGTTTTGCTTTATTACTTCAAATAACTTTCAGTATGTTGTTAAGAGAAAAGGTACACAGTGGGTTTTCTGTGCTGTGCCCATCGCGGGCATCAAAACCAGATTCTTAATGTTATAAGCTCCAAGTCTTACCGCTGAGCTACTGGAAGGGCCAAAAATAACCTAGGACTTAAGTGATTGCAATTTATATTACCCCATTTTTTAAAGAGTTACTAATTACGCGAAACATTTTTTTCTTTGTGTATAAAATGACAGAAATAATAATAATAGCAGACATTACAAACAATTTATGAATTTAAATATGATGAGGGTTAGTAGCATGATCTACTATTATAGTTGTGGATTGCGCCAAGTAGGATTTGTATAAAATGGACAACAGCTTAAAGCAAGTGAACCGCACATTCTTGACAATGAATTCAAATTACTCCTATTTTGTTTACATGCTCCTCTAACACCAGTTATTATGTTTAACTACAATTTATTTTGAAAAATACCCCAAGCCTAAAAAAAAAAAAACTTTGTTCTACAAGGATTAGGCCTATAAGACGAGTTTGAAGGCCGTACTACAGCCGAACCTGGCAAATTATACTCGTCCTATTGATGCTGTTGTTAATACGCATGTAAATTACGCCAGAGAGTTTAAAATGGGAGGATTAGGCTTATAATACGATCTGAAAATCGAACCTGGTAATGTTTCTCAAATTCAATTTTTGACGACAATTATGAAACCAATATATTTATCTCGTATTCAAAGTTGTGACTGTCATAGTTTCGTTACAATGATCGTATACGGTATAGGCAGTCATAAATTGTTTGTTTGTTTGTTATGGATTTTGCGCAAAGCTACACGAGGGCTATCTGCACTAGCCGTCCCTAATTTAGCAATGTAAGACTAGAGGGAAGGCAGCTAGTCATCACCACCCACCGCCAACTCTTGGGCTACTCTTTTTACTAACGAATAGTGGGATTGACCGTTACATTATAACGCCCCCACGGCTGAAAGGGCGAGCATGTTTGGTATGACAGGGATTCGAACCCGCGACCCGCAGATTGTGAGTCGAGCGCCCTAACCACCTGGCCATGCCGGGCCTACAGTCATAAATAGATCCAACAAAACGAAGTGTCGACAGCAGTTTCTTAGAAGGAAATTCTTCAAAAAAAAAAACCAAATCTCCTCAACCAAACCATCAAAACAGTAATATTTCGTTTATTTGTTATTAAGCGCAAACTACACAATGGGCTAACTGTGCTCTGCCTGCCAGGGATATTGAAACCTGATTTTTAGTGTCGTAAGCTTGCAGACTTACCGCTGAGCTACTGGGGAGACTGGAAATTTCAAGATGTTGTTCTTATTTTTTCTTCAAACATGATAGTAAAAAAATAAACTCGTAGATTTCTTCCAAATATGTCTTATTTGTTTTTACTTGTCCACTGTATTCATCGTTAACAGTTTGAGCCAGAACGCCAGAGTACTTTGATCAGAAATGGTTAAAACTGTTCTACACACCCTGAGTACCAATGTTTTAAGTAATATACACATCGACAAAAAAGGTGCATAATGTAATAGATATAATTTAAGTAAGGATTAATATGCCTATATACATAACAGGCTGCTCTTGTCAGACCGCAGAGTGGAAGTTGGCTGTCACTTTCATAACTCACCCATAGCTCCAACGTGCGGAAAGCCATTTTATTTCGATAACGGGATAAGAAGCATGAAGCCTTAGCATGCTAACTACAGGGCCACCCTCAACCACAAGACATGTTCTGCTATTGTATTCTGTAACTATGAACTGAAAATAGTGGAAATAAAAAACTATATGGAAAATAATAGTAATATTTGTTAGAAAAAACAACAACCCGAACACCATAAGAGTAAGAGGCAACAGAACAAAGAAAATGTATAAATGGAGAAAGAAATAAAACAGATAAATGTGACAACTGCCATCCCACAACTTGCTGCAAGAGGCGACAAGCAGTAGGATTTCAACACGTCTTGGGTTTAAACACATGGTATCTGTCGCCCATGTATCTTCTTTACCTTCACTCTTTCTCTCTCTTTATTTTATTTTGTTTTTATTTTTATCGTAGCTGTGGTTCCCACTTCCGTAAATAACTCTTAATGAGGAACATTTCACCGTTCCCACGTTGTAAGTTGTAGTATTATTTATCTGTTCTTTATATACGTTTCGCTTTTGGCATGTTTGTTCGAAAATTATATATATACATACACACACACATATATACATATAAATATATAGAGAGAGAGATATATACAAAACGAAATAAAGTAACACGAGAAATTGTAATGTCATGTTGCTTGTACATAAATAATGTAGAGTAGTTCTTGATGATTCAACCAAATGAGGTATTTTGAAACATATATCAACCAGCAGATGCTTGTTTAAACAATTAAACTGTAATTTTTCTAAAACTAGTCATGAATAAGCATAATCCAATCAGAGCGTATATGCAATATGATTGTTTACAACCGTCTTTTGTCATTCCACGTGTTATTTCGATAAGGAAAATTACATTGCGTTTGTTTATTGTTTTTTTTCAGCAAAGGAAACTGACTGTAATGTATTGTAGGAAAAATATTTCAACCGGGTGCATCCAGCGCAATAGAGCGCTCAGATTCACTAACTAGTTATGGGGATTTTTTTCCGCTGGATGTAACCGTTCCTTGTCATTTTACTAAGTGCAAGCAAAGACAGCTCCTGAAGTGAGTGCTTTTGGGTAGTTGTCATTTCTATAAGAAGTGTCAAAGTGGAGACATTCAATTCAAATAAATTGATTCGACACAGTAC